ACGTGTCCAGGATGAACAACGATTAGCGAGTCAACCACCATTTGCAAGCCAATGTTTGGACGAAAAAACACGACGATTTCCGAAAAGGACGACTATCGAGCCCGACGATTATCGAGGGACCACTGTATAGACATTTCTGTTAATCCATCTATGATATTTTTTTTCAAAATTATATAATAAACATGCTACATAACATATAAACATGATACATACACCAAAAGTATAAAAATTGACATAAATATGAGATTTGTTTACCAAGCAGTTGGTGGGAGGGTCGGAAGAATTACGTTTTCTCTAGTCAGACACCAGTAACTTAACTAGATATTTATTCCTTTTGTATGCCTTCACTTTGTCTAGTTATTCACAACCCTTGTGGGTTTAGCACTTTTTTATTATGATTATAATAATAACAACAACTTGTAATAATAATTGCTCAGAACATCATTTCTTCTAAAAATTACATGAGAATGGAAGTGTTGGTCTTTATTCTACTGTACCACTGTGGAGACAACTTGTACACAGTAGTATAAGGTGTTTGTATGAATCATAATCAGATGCTTTCTCCGTTTGTTTACATAGTGGGTGGGGTGGCCAGGCAGACTATCCTACCCTACCTCCCATGCATGACTTTCTACAAATAAATACTTTTCACCTTTCACCCCACATTAAGACCATTAAGACTACAAATATTTTAAGGTAAGTAATGAGTGTACTGTATATGCATTTTATCACTCTAGGGTGCTTTAAGCATCATAGTATATTATGTGTGGGTGGGGTGGCCAGGAGGGCTACCACACCTGACTTCTTACAGTAAATACTACTCACCTTTTACCCTACATTAAGACTACAAATATTTTGAGGTAAATAATGAGTGTACTGTGTGTGTATTTTACTTTTTATTGTTTTTTAATGCCTAGTGTTGGCTATTAAAATAACAGTTTCTAAACATTTTCTCTTAATTTTACACATTCCCTAGTATTCAGCTTGACTCCTGATCATTTCATGAAATGATTGTGAAGGCTTTTATGTTGGATGCAGTCATTCTTCAACTTGTCAGTCCTGGCTATAAGGGAAGGTAATACAAATTGTTTGAAAACTGCTCTCCTTTTTGTCAAACTAATTCCCTTCACACTACTCTTGTTCATGCTTCTATCATTAATGCTTCAAGTGTCTGCTCCATTTCCTGCTCATCCTGTCCTCTCCAGTACTTTGGTGAAACTGGCCATTTTCTGTCTGACAGACTTTAGGAACACAAAAGATGTATTCTCTTAGTGACACCAGTAATGTTATTTTCTTTCATATCAGAGATCACAGCTGTCGTATCAACTGGTCTTCTGTTAAAATTATTTACCTTTCAGGAACAGTCTTGTTGAAACAGCTCTTATTTGCAATTGTCTCTACATGAATTTTAGCTCTGGCTGTTTTTGTAAATGCCTGCCTTTTCATTACATTGTCAATATCTTGAAACTTCAGAATACAGTGGACCCCCAGTTAACGATATTTTTTCATTCCAGAAGTATGTTCAGGTACCAGTACTGACCGAATTTGTTCCCATAAGGAATATTGTGAAGTAGATTAGTCCATTTCAGACCCCCAAACACACACGTACAAATGCACTTACATAAATACACTTACATAATTGGTCGCATTGGGAGGTGATCGTTAAGCGAGGGCCCACTGTATCTTTTACTTAACCTATGCTACTTCCTCTCCTTCGACTTCATTTATGTTCCAAGTTATTTTTTTTCTTTGCCTTTCCTGTTGTCTGCTTTGGTGTGGTTCTGTTCCTGAGTTTTGTCCCATGGGGGTTATGTCCAAAGCTACTTATACTATTATTACTACTTTCTCATTACTATAACTGCTGCTGCCACTTCTACTACTATGTACTAGCTTTCATATAATCAAGATCTCATGCTTGTCATGTTATACAGATAGCAAAACAAACTTGTTGGGCCTCTGCCTCTGCTGCCTCCTGCCTTCCTCCTCTCTCTCTCTCTCTCTCCTCCTTCCTCCTCCTCCCTCCTTCCTCCTCCTTCCTCCTTCCTCCTCCTCCTCCCTCCTTCCTCCTCCTCCTCCCTCCTCCTCCTCCCTCCTTCCTCCTCCTCCTCCCTCCATCCTCCCTTCTTCCTCTTCCTCCCCCTCCTTTGTCCTCTCCTTCCTCCTTAGTCATCCTCCTCCTCCCCTCTTTCCTCCTTAGTCATCCTCCTCCTCCCCCCTTTCCTCCTTAGTCATCCTCCTCCTCCCCTCTTTCCTCCTTAGTCATCCTCCTCCTCCCCTCCTTCCCACTCTGTCTTCTGGCTTTCCCTGCCTCTTTCTCAGTTGTGATTTGACAATGGTTCTAATTTCAATGTCCACTGAAGTTTCCAACAACTGTAATTTATGTCTTACATACAAACTGTTGGTATTCATAATACCATTATTCATTGTAAGGAATTTTAGTCTTGAAGACAATGAAAGAGTAATATTTTAAAACCAGGTTTATTTTGATTACTAAATTACATGATTAATTTTCTACTTTTCTAAAAACAAAATATGACTGAAGAACAGTAGTTTGAGTTTTTGTTTCTTCTTAATTGTTGGGGTAAAATTTCAGTTGAGTTTAGTGAGGTGTTGTGGAAGGTACTTCACTCCAGTATACCTCAGTTGAATATAGTGTTGATGGTGTGGAGGTCCTGGCTGAACTAATGCTAAAGATGAGTACAGTGCAAGCGATGGGGTGGAAAGAGGTACTTTCAGTTCTAGCATGCATCTATTTTCCTTAGTCTTGTTTCTTATCTTTAACCCTTTGACTGTCGCAAGCCCATTTCTGAAACTGTCATTCTATGTCGAAAAATATTCGAAAAATAAAAAAATTATTTTTTCTTACCAAAAATGTTAGGATTATTTTGTTGAGTGTTTTAAGCCTAAAAAAAAAATTGTGATCATTACTTACTGAGATATAGAGGCATAAAGTTGGCAGAAAATGAGCCGTGTATGGCAACGGCGGCAAATGCCGCTCGCCTGGTAAACTTTTTTTTACTCCCATTTGAAAGTTTATTGCTTTTTCCACTACTTTATTCTTTCAGGTAACTTATGTGGCCTGTGAGACCAAAGTAAGGTGCAATGTACATACATACACTTGTGCAAAACAACCACTATGAAAGAATGGTTATTTTGCATATTCTGAAATCACCTGTTTACTGTGATCTTAAGAACATAAGAACACAAGAAAGAAGGAACACTGCAACAAGCCTACTGACCCATGCAGAGCAGGTCCATGTCCCTCCCCTCCAGATTAGCCCAGTGACCCCCCCCCCCCTGGATTAGCCCAATGACCCACCCAGTCTGGTCACCTCCACTCAAGGAAGGAGCATGGCACCAGACCCAGCAGCACAATCTAGTCAGGTCCAACTCACACCCACTCATGTATTTCTCTAACCTATTTTTAAAACTACACAATGTTTTAGCCTGAATAACTGTACTCGGGAGTTTGTTCCACTCATCCACAACTCTATTACCACACCAGTGCTTTCCTATAGCTTTCCTGAATCTGAATTTTTGCAACTTGAAACCATTGCTGCGAGTCCTGTCTTGGCTGGAAATTTTCAACACGCTATTTACATCGCCTTTATTTATTCCTGTTTTCCATTTATACACCTCGATCATATCCCCCCTAATTTTATGCCTTTCGAGAGAGTGCAGATTCAGGACCCTCAGTCTATCCTTATCTTATTGCACGTACACTTGTATACAGCACAATAAGCGCACAAACATAATTATCAGTATATTGTTTACAAAACTTGTTTACACAAACAATACAAAAAATTGTTTATTACTATTGTTCTATAATATATATACAAATATACAGTCACTGGACATGTTCCTAGATGTTCTGCAGGTTGTGGAACTCTTTGAAGCATGGTTTCATACACAATGGTGTTTTACACTCCTCACACGTAAAATGAGCATCTCTGGGTTTTTGTGAGCTTTTTTTGTATGTGCACAGACAAAACACCTCGTCTGAGCAGTTTTCTTCAAAGTAGTAGCAGGCAGTTGTGTTAGGTAGTTATCCTAGGTAAATAGTCTTGTGTCATTATTCCTTTCTACCTACCTTTCTGTCTTCATTCTTTCCTTCTTTCTGGTTTCTATAATTTATATACACATACATAGTCACTGGACACTTTCATAGAACTGCTATTATCTTCAGGAAGCTTGTGTTGTGTGTGTGTGTGTGTGTGTGTGTGTGTGTGTGTGTGTGTGTGTGTGTGTGTGTGTGTGTGTGTGTGTGTGTGTGTGTGTGTGTGTGTGTGTGTGGACTTCTAAATGTGCTGAGTCAGGGTCTGGCAGCTGTCAAAATGACATATTATACCATTACTCACTCCCCCTACCACCTGTCAGCACAGTGGGGTCAATGCTTGCTTCCCCACCATCCTTCCTTACCTAATTATCTTTCTTTCTTTCTCCTTTCTCCTTCTTTCTTCTTTCTCTTTATTTCTCCTTCTGTCTCTTTCTTTGTTTCTCATTTTCTTTCTCTTTCTTCTGGTGTCCTGGGCATTGCTTTCGGTCACAAACTTCTCAAAACCATGAAATTAATTTTCACTGACACTTGCATCTGTGTTAACTCTATCACTTGAGAAGAGAAGAGGCCCAGATTTGCTGGGGAGCTGCATATTTCTTACCACTAGGCATGCTGAACAAGGACTACTGAAATGGCATTCCCACAATGCGCCACTGGCTCCCTGATTTTTTTTTTATAGTGACCATGGAGACCCATTCTCTCGCATATGGGCCAGCTTTTTCCTGCTTGATTTGAAGCCGCTAGAATTTACGCGTATTAATACGTCGGAAACATTGACTCGTAAGACGTATATATATGGCTGAAAGAGTCAAAGGGTTAATAGTTTACTCTTTATATACATTATACTTATTTAGAAAAACAATGATGACAATTTTTTTTTTTTTTTTTTTTATCTTACACCCATTCCTGTTTACATTTTATCGAAAGCTTTCTTAATTTTCAG